ACCTCTCTTCTTCTCAGGTCAATCCACTCACTTGCCATTTATCAAATTAAAACTACAGATCAAATAGAGAAAATCACAAAAGGAATCTGACTTCAAATCAGTCACACTAAATGATGTATTAATAACTTTTCTACAATAGATGTATTACTAGGATCTATTGTTCATTTCAAATGTACTTACCATATTTAAAGTAAATTGACATACTATATATTTCTCCAAATAATATTTCTAAATACAGGTTAACTGTTTAAAACAAATAAACAAACAAACAAAAAGAAACATGAAAATGTATGTACCAAGATTCTAGTCACCTACCTGTCTACCACAAACCAATCTTCTTAGGCAAATGACTACGTCAATTATTAATTCACTTTTCAACAATCACATATATAATATATATTATACATACATACATAAAAGTCCTCAGAAACAAAACAATTAAGGAACTTCAAGGAACAAAGGCTTTTAGAAAACTAAATGACCTGCTTGTAACCAGTTGAGAAGCTAGAGAAAACAAAAGAGCCCAAGATCTTCTGATATCAAAGCGCTCCTTTCTCCATTTCAATGGTCCAGGGTGGCTTCTGTTCATTGAACCTGTTGAAATGCTGAAGCACTTAAAATCTTATATAATTTTGGAGGGGTAAATCCTAAATCTTAGAAGCAAACAGTAATAGCTGACTTCTAGCTAAATATCAAGCACAAAGAGCAATATTAAAAAATAATCTTATTTCATTCTCAGGTTACTAATACTTATTAATAACCTTTCCAAATTATTATCCATATTGGAATTTACTTGATAAAGATAACTTACATCAAAGCACTATTAGTAACATTTTTGAGATTAAATTAAATGAAAGTTGGCAAAGATATTCACTATATTTTAATAGGTCCCTTTATTAAAGAAATATATACAGCATCTTTTAAGTATTTCAAACATCTCACATTTGGATATAGAATATAAGTTTCTACAAGATTAGTACTAATTATTTCTATTAAATTTTGTTTCCTTTAGTAAAAGAAAAGGTCTACTGGTGGTACTTCATTTGCTTCTATTAATGGTGTAGAAAATAACTCCACAAGTTGATGGATAATTACAAAGTGTTAACTACTCTTCACAACGGTAAGACAAAACATGTAAAGAGCATGCAAAGACCTAACTACATGCAAAGTCATAACTAGAATCTGAACTATAGTCCAGAGATACTGGTTATGGCCCCACCACCTGTGAGACATTAAGAAAACCATCTTTACACTTCAATTATGTATAAAATGAAACAGAGTAGGATAATCCTACTCAGGTTTACAACATCTAAGAATCTATTACTAGAAAACATAATGATAATCACTATCCCCGAAAAGAAGGAATATTGATAGGCAAGTACTAAATTCTTTAAATTACACACACACACACACACACACACACACACACACACAGATCTAGAAACACTAACACACATATGCCCAAAAATTGAATGGTGCGCTAGGACCAAAACCTGAAATAAAAAACATGCCGAAGGGATGTAAAAAGTAAAACAGGTAGAGTAGAAGGTGGGGGATGGGAGGTGTTAAATCTATAGAAATCTGCCCTAAAGCTAAAAGGGCAGAGAATGGAGAATGAAGTTCCATATTTAACAGGGCTTTACTAAATTTTTTTAATGTGTTTTATGGAGAAAATCACTAGACTCATCAATTTCCAAATGTCTTTGTGGCCTCTGTAATGTATCTTGGCTCATAGTAGCCACAGTAGGTACCTAAGAGATGTTAGTGGACCCCCTGCTAATTCACTGGTAACTAACTGAAGCATACTCTAAAACTACAGTCTCAATATTTGTGTCCCCTACAAATTCCTATGCTGATAGCCTAAATGATGCAGAAATTACCTAAAGAAATACAAGTGATTAAAGGTTACATGCCAAAGACACTGTAGGCACCCAAAGAATCCTGTTAAATGGACTAGACAAGCGGGATGACTAATAAGTACCCTTACTTACAAAGTTACTTCTTAGGAGGCAGGACTTTGGGGAAGATCTGCCCCCATGAATGGATTAATGCGCATACTGAAGAGGCCCAAAGGAAAACACTTTACCATTTTCACTACAAAAGGTTACAGTGAAAAGGTAGCTCTCTTAAGAACCAGGAAGAAAACCCTCACCAAACATACAGGAATTTGCCAGCACCTTGATCTTGGACTTCTCATCCTCCAAAACTGTGAAAAATAAATTTTTTAAGAATAATTGTTTGTCTCCAATATTTTATAATAACAGCCTGAAGAGACTAAGACATCTAGTAACATACTCTCAGGTAAACACTAGGAATCCTCTGAGTCCTTGCCCTCTAAAAGTTGAGTTCACACTGTGAAAGAAAACAAGTAGTATAAAGCATAAAATGCTATAGGTCACGATGTACTTCAGACCTTTCAAAAAAAACTGAAGAGGAAGACTATAAGGTAACATTTATTGAGTGCCCATGGATTAATAAGCATTTAACATGCTTGCAAATCTGAGTTAGTTTCACCATCCTGTCTTACAGATAACAAAACTGTGATTCACCAAAACTAAAAACAGGTTCTAATGGCAAAGCTATTTCCACTATATGTACCAAGATATCTCTGATTACATTATCTTTACACTTGTCTGAGAGGGGAATTTTCAAAGCTATTCAAAATTATCATCCTGAATTATGATGAAAAGAGCATTTAAGACTTTTTTTAAAAAAAAATACAACCTTGTGGTACATGCATTACTTACTTGAATGATCACTTTTTGATTTCTCTTCACCCATGAACATCAGAAAACTGTACCTTTTAATAGCTGTATATGCACCTTAAATGCACCTGCATTTAAGCCTGTACAATTTATTAAGTCTAAATAAAAAGTATACAACATGATTGGATAATATAACCAATATTCATTTTAAAAAATAGAAATTTGGAAACATTAAGTGCTCAGGAAGAAAAACTGAGATATGATTCATCTATAGTTTTGGGTCATACCACTGATTCCAATATTGAAATAATAAATTATTACAATTTTTTTGAGAAAGGAGACTGACACAGAAATTACCCAAAGTTTAAGAAATACAAGTGATTAAAGGTTACATGCCAAAGACACTGTAGGCACCCAAAGAATCCTGTTAAATGTACTGGACAAGCGGGATGTCTAATAAGTACCCTTACTTACAAAGTTACTTTTTAAGCTATGAAAAAAAAAATAATAAGGGTATATTTTAAGAGATATAAAACAAAAGCAGACTACAAAACCTCTGAAATCAAAACACAGTATGTTGTATCTCTGCATAGATTAAACTCCTCAGGGATGAGGGCAATGTCCAAAAGATGGTGTGTACACTACTTAGCACACTAATGCTAGTTAAATATTGACAAAATAAGACTTTCACAGCTTATTTTCATAGCTTATACATTCTATTTTTATAAATAAAGATTACAAATTATTTCTATCATATTTTTACATCCTTCTGTGCATATCACAAATATGTAAAAATTATAAATTATTTCTTGAAGTTTTTTTTTTTTTTTTGCTGTTGTGAATGTTGTTTTGGGGTGTTTTTTTTTTTTTTAAGTCGGTTTTTGTGGTGCTTTTTAATGTTTAGGAGTCATCCTTAAAGCTTATTAACAGCAGCATTAATCTGTATTCAATTCATTAAAAACATGATAAGTAGCTTATATTTAAAATCTAATTCCAAAACTATTCCCACTACACATACCAAGACCAAATTTTTTTTCTCTCTCCCAAATTCTAAATTTTACACGATTTACCAAATAATTTCTTAAGTAAGTGTATTTAAGTGTAGTCAGATGTGTAAGAAAAACACTTCTGATGCCACTTGTTCAATTTAGCCACCAAGATTTACTGGGTACCGACGTGTCTTTGACATAACTTTTAATATTTTTATTTCTTAAACCTTAAACTTTAGGTCGTCTTTATTTCAAATTCCCTTCCCTTTCCAAAAAAACAGAAACAAAAAACACTATAGAATAAACCATTTGGGTTTTTTTCCCCAATACTGCATGAATGGAATGACCAAAAATTATGGGCCATATCTATATTTGGCCAGTAAATTCCATATGCTATTCAGTTTACATTTCCAACAGCACCCTAGCCAGTAAATAAATATAATCTCAAACAGATTTTGCGGTGTTTCTATTTTAATACGACCACGGGAAACCAAAAATAATAGACTAGATTATCTTTCTAGAATTCTAAGATTAACCAGTGTCTGCATTAAAATCATATTTTATATTTTACATATTAAAAAAATATCTGGCACACTTAATTCTGGCTTTACCAACAAAAGCCTCTACCCCAAGATGAGGAAAACATCCTTTTCATTCTTTAACTAGAAAGGTTAAAAAAACAAAAAAGCCACCCGCTTTAAGGTTTGCATTTATATTTAAGTCAGCTCTAACAAACCCAAGAACTCACGTTCAAATCCAGAAATCTGGCGATCAACAAGACATGAGTAATCTGTGAGCACAATCCTTGGGATTGACATACCACTTCATCCGCCCTCCCTCACTATCAATCCACCCCCAAAACCCCAACCCACTATGCACACGATTAAATATGTCTTCCCCAAGAGAGCCGAAAACGCCGAGAAAGAGCTCCCCTTTGAATGAAAAGGCATCCTTTGCTAGCCTAGAGGCCCTGGCCGGCTCTGCGATCCTAGCTCCAATAGGGCCCCATCTCGACGCCCAGCACGTCCGCCCCGCCCCGGGCCCTCTCGAGTCCCCTTGGACGACAAAACCAGCGTATATCCAGGACTGACAGTTAAGGCTGCAGCAGTCAGGGCCACCAGGGGCCTACTCCTGGCACCGGCCCCTCAACACCACGCGCCCCCAAACACTCTATCCGGCAGAGGTGGGGGTGGGGGAAGGGATGCCTATCCTTGCCAGAAGGGTCCCGAAGGATGGCGAGGGCAAAAAAGGAGACCGAGGGGAGAACGCGCCTCCGGGCCCAGACCGCGTCCGCAGCAACACTAACCTGTCGTCGCCCCCGCGCCTGGGCTGCGGCCCTCGCAGCTGCGGCCGCTTCACTGGTCGTCGTCGCCCTCGCCCACCGCCTCCGCCCGCCACCGCCTCGTTCCCTTTCGCTGCCGCCACCGCCGGGGCTCATGCGGGACCCGCGCTTCCTTCTCTGGAAACCGAGGCCGGGAAACGGGGAGCCTAGGCCGCCGAAAACCCGGCACTCGTCGCTAGCCGCCGCTGTCTGTCCACACTGGGGGGCTGCGAGGCCCTCCTGGCAGGGGCTACAGGCCGCGAGCTACTGAGAGGAGGAGCTGAGGGTGGCGCCGCTGCCCGCGACCGGGGTCGGTAGAGGTGAAGCGTAAGTCGGAGCGGGTGGCAGGCGCCCGGGTCGGCAGATAACTACGCGGTGGCAGGGTGCGCGAGCGAGCGAAGTGTGATGCGTCGGGATCCTGGCGATGGGTAAAAGGCCCTGTCGTCTCCTGTAGTCACCCCGAGCCCAGCGCCACCATCTTGGGAGAAACGCGGATCTCGCGACCGCGGCGCAAGACGGGAGGACTGGCTGGGCGGGCCGAGTATCCCGGCAGGCAGCGCGCGCCTCCCAGCCAGGCGAGGACTCCAAGCCGGACGCGGGGACGCGGGGCGGTGCTAGGATGAGCGCGGGAGGGCGGGGCGAAATGCCGTGAGACTCTGCCCTCACCTCCCGCTTACCGTCGCCGCCGGCGCAGGGGCCCGTGGGAAGGGGAGATGGCCCGCGGTCCCGCGGAGTCTCTTTAGGGTTGGTCGCCATCTTGAGACTGGGCAAAAAGAATAATCTTCCTTTTAAGCCCCTGCTCTCTGTCGTCTAATAGAATTGGATACACTCTGGAAACCCCAGCGATCCCCAGAAGGGTTGGAGCCCCGGGCCTACCCAACCAAGAAACGCCTCCGATTTTATTGGGGAATGAATTGATTCCGTATGTCAGCTTGGGCAGTGTTGATAGCCCCCAGGCCCGAGGCAAGGCAGAACCGACAGATACTAGGTTCTGACCCGAAATCCTTTCCCCCAGAGCTGCCCTTGTAAACATTTCAGGGGTGTCCCGAAGAGTGTGGGCCAGTGTTCAAGGGCCAAGGTCACCTGCTTAGGCCACTTGACAACACAGGATGTGATTAGAAGGTAAAAGCCCACCTCCCATAGTGTTGACATTTAGTGGGTTGTCAAAGTAAGTGGTCTCTTAGTTAACTCCATGGGGGTAGAGGGTAATTTTAATCCGTATAACAGCCTAGCCTTTTTAAATCCATGTGTCATACTTGGTACTAGGGCGACTTAAAAAGGATTGGGGTTTTTTTGTTGTTGTTTGTTGTTTTTTTGTTTAAGGGGGATTTTGCTAGCGAAGTTATTTTAAAAATCACTAATTCAGTCTTAAGGTTTTCCACTTTTTGGATAAGCCTTTAAGTACTATGTGATACACCAGTCATCCAGTATTCAGAAAATGTTAATGTCATTAATCAGCAGTGAATTTTTACATTGCAATTCTTAACATCATCTTTTTTATAAAAAATCAGGTAATTGACATTTTTATACATAAATGTGTATATATGGATAGAAATAATCCACCTCCCACCTATAATCAATTATTAAATTAACTATAAAAAATAAACAAGAGTAATATTCTAGGACAGTTGATGGTAAATGAAAGTATTAAGCTATGTCTGATTGTAAGATATTTTTAAAATATCTTTATTCATTTTCCATTTCTCCCCCATTACAGATTCACATTTGGAAGCTATTGGCAACTGAGAATGAAAATCTTTGAATACTTTATTAGAATAAATAAAGCAAAATTTTACTACTAGATTTATCATATGAAGATACTTTTAGCTATTTTATTTTCTCTTAAATAGGAATTGTCTGAGTAAGTGAAATTAATTTTATAATAGACTGAAGTTTCAAATGTGGCTGAAATCCATGAGTTCTAAAAGAGTTTCAAGACTGAGGGAAGTAAATCTACTTTTAGAGGTTGAAATGACTATTCTGGTTTTAAGTAAGACCAACAAAAACCTAATTCTTCCTGGGAATCTGAAAAAATTACCCTTATCCTTTTAATTCTTCAAGTTAGATATATATATTCTTGTGTGTGACTACAGTGTTAAACTTGACACAGGAACTCTCTGTATTTTTTGGTTTACCCATTTTTAAGTTAAGAATTGTTGATTGATAAAAATTGTCAGCAATGAATATTATCAGGAGTCCTCGGTTTACCAGTAGTGTTCCATTTCCATACATATGAGTTTTGATGAAAAAGAAAATGTTTATCTGAAACCAGACCCTTATTTCTCTACAAGTATGTTTTCTCAGAAAAAACTTCATATCTAAGTCTGCAGTAAATTCTTTAGACTATTCTAGTCCAAATGAGAAACAGTAGTTTCTAATAATTTTCCCATTTCAGGTAAAAAGTAAAAAGCAGTATAATTTTATAAGTGTATACATCAATGCTATGTGCAAACTTTGAACTTGTGTATACCCAGAACTGTGCCAGGCCTTGGGAATCAATAAAAGATCAACAATCTCTATCCTCCCCTCTAGAAGGCAGTTCAGGAGGATATCATACCTGTAAAAACTGAACACTTTTTCATAGTAACACAACACTGGTTGTGTAATTGTGGAGTAGAGTTGTCTATTAATATGTACTAATACTAATATACTTTTTGAAAATGAAATATTTTTCCCTAATCTGCCAGTGAAGTGGGAGTTTTTGACAGGTCTATTTCAGTGCTCAAAATTTCTTATTGATGTGAATTACAACAGATGAATTAAAAAACAAAACCACAATTTTTTATTATACAGCATGCCCCACAATCAGAAATAATCTGAGAGCATGAAGGAGAAAGTTCAGATGTGGTGATATTCACAATTGCTATTTTTAGGCTGCATCAAAATATAACACACTCATCTCTTGAAAGATTCTAAGATTTTGGTGTATGAGTAGGTCCCAATATTTAACAAGTACTTCTGAAGCAAAATTAACTCCAAGAAGCATGTGATAAGTACCCAATAAATGTTAGTTTCAATAAATAAAGAACACAATAAATGTTAGTGCTTACTAGCAATAGTAATATTAGTATTATTAATATTGTTATTTACTGTTACATATATCCAGTATGAACTCCTTAGTGCCCTGCTTTCATTCATACAGAGCTAAATTTGCCTTCTTCCTGACCTGTCAAGTATGAATCATCCTTCCTCCTTTATACAGACATTTTTTAAAAGGGGTCACCTCAAGACCCCTTTAAAAAAATTAACTCCCTCTGTTTTTCCCTCTCCTGTTCATAAATTCTCCCTCTATTGACTTTGTCTCTTCTGTTTTAAAAGGTATCTATACTCAGATTACCATTTCCTTCCAAAACCTTCTTCAACTACTAAAATTTAGCACCTACCTCCATTTTACTTTATACATTCCTTGTATCAATGTCACTATAACATAATAGCTAAATCAAAGGTTGCTTCTCACTTTTCATAGTATCTTATCTTTCTGCAACCTTCAACATGCTAACCAATGCCTCCTGGAAACTGCTCTTTGGCTCCATCACCTTAAGTTCTCTGGCTTTTTTTCCGAGTGTTTTGGGCCACTCTTCCTCTCCATCCTTGGTTCTCTTTGCCCTCCATATTACAATTTACATGTACTCTTTCTCTGTCACTTTGGTCAGAGTTCAAGTCTGAATATTGAACATAGACCTCACTTGGAAATATAAGACACTTAAGTTTTCAACCCTTTGTAGGGAATTTGAGCTAGATTTCTATAACACCCCAAGCACTGTCCCATTTTCCACCATTAACTGAGATGGGGATATCTGTGCAGAGGAGTAGATTTTAGAATAACAAAAAGGAATTCGGTTTTGACAATGATAAATTTGAAAAGCTTATTGGACAGCTGTAGTAGAGACTGCTTGCTCGTTGATCCCTAATGTGCATATCAGTTTACACATACTGACCCCTTAGTGTGTCATGTCACTAAATTCTGGCCAATAGACTGTGAATAAAAATGATATTTGTACCTTCTGGATTACACTATTGAAAGAAATGATGCTAGACTGCAGTGGTGCATGCATGTAATCCCAGCTACACAGGAAATTGAGGGAAGAGAATCACTTGAGCCCAGGATTCCAAGGCCTGCCTTCGAAACATAATGAAACCCTCTGTTTAAAAAAGAAGAAGAAGAAGGAATTTCACATGCTGTTTCCCTTCATCCCTTTCTGAGGATTGAAATGTGGTGAGCTGTTTTGTTGGAAGGTTTGAATGATGGTATTCTCACCAAAATTTATGTTGAAACTTACCACCCATTATGGTGGTATTAAGAGGTAAAACCTTATGGAGAAGTGATTAAGTCATGAGAGCTCCGCCCTTATGCATGTGGATTACTGCGCCTATGAAAGTCCTGGAAAAAACTACTTTAGACCCTCCTTTGCCCTTCCTCACTTCCATCATGTGAATAGCATTCATCTCTTGCAGAGAATGCAACAAGGTATCCTCTTGGAAGCAGAGAGAAGCCTTCATTGGACACTGGACCTGCTAGTATCTTGATCTTAGACTTTTTAGAACTGTGAGAAAATAAATTTCTATTCTTTGTAAATTACCCAATATCAGGTGTTTTGTTATAGCAGCACAAATTAAGATGGGGAAGGCACTCCCATTATCACAGAGCAATAAGGAGGGTCCTGAGGCCTTCATTAGGCAAAGTCTGTGTATCAATTTGAACTTCGATTTGAATCAGCTGCTAACATTTGTAATCTGACATGATTATTTTAGATCCCTTTTACTGCAGCTGAACTTGTATCCTAATATAAGAGTCTGGAGTTAGGGGAGAATGAAACCAAATCATCCTACCATCCTTGACTTACTTGGTTACTCTACCATCTGTGGAAGTTCCCAATCAAAATAAATCTTAGAAATTCTAGAGTTCTTTCTTCCAAGAGGCAAAGTCACATATTTCTTCCAGAATTCATGTCAGGTAATGTAGCAAAATAGTTAAGAGCACAGGCCCCCAATTTACCTGCAAGTGACAAGATGCCAAGCAAGATTATAATCCCTCAGTTTAGTTTCCTCATGTATAAAAAGAGTTGTTTTGAGGATTAGATATTAATGTACATAAAGCACTCAGAAGAATGCCCAGCGCATAGTACAACAAATGTGAATTTTTTTAAATCCCAAATCTCAGTTCTTCCAAATACAGAATCTTTAGTATTTCAATTGATATGTTTCCTTACCAATAAAGTAGGAAAAAATAATAGTAATGATTTCATAAGGCTACTATAGGCCTTTGTTCTTCCATTCATTATTAGTTTGTTCTTCCATTCATTATTAGTTTTGAGCACATCTTATGTAGTAACACTATTCCAGGTGCCAAGAATAGAGCAATCAACAGGACAAAGAGACTACCTTCATGAAGTTTATGATCTAACAGAGAAAGAAAATCAACATATATGTGGTGTGTCAGAATATGATAAATGTCAAGGACAACCATAAAGCAATAAAAAGGGAATAGAGACCGTTATAGGAGTTATATCATGAAGGGTGGCCAGTGAAAGTGTCATTGAAAATATGACATTCAAG